TGACTCAGCTTGAAGTTTCGGCGTTGGGTGGGGTCCGATCCTAGTGGATTCGGGCGCATCGCACCACCTGACGAGCCAAGTTGAAGGATTTGAAGTCGCCGATGACGACGTGACGCTCGCCATTCGAGTGGCTGACGGAAGAACGGTCATTGCGAAAGCGAAAGGCAGGCCACACATCAAGGCGCTTGTCCAAGACAGAAGCGGAAACGAGGTAGAGCGAGAGTTCCTAGCGGAAAATGTCTACTTGGTCGACAGGCTTCCTCACACTCTGCTATTGGTATCAGCTTTGCTGCGTGGCGGTCATACAGTAAGCTTTGGACCAGCCAGCTGCACCATAGCGGTGTCTCGAGGCAGGACAAGATGCATCGCGCGATTACGCGGCGGTGTGTACTCAGTGGTAACATCTCGGCAACATGATGCAGAGCTAAATGCAGCACACGGACTGTCAGCCGCAGCTCTCGGAAGAACTTTGGGAAATTGGCATAGGAGATTGGGTCATGTCAACTATGAAACTTTAAAGAAGATGGCTGGTGGAGGAGTCGTTCGAGGTCTACGCATAGCTCCCGGCCCAAAACCGTCCATGTGCACCGTATGCGCACTTACTAAAGCGACACGACAGTCAATCCCAAGAGCTCGGTCGAGACCCGACGAAGTAGCAGACGGTGTTTGCCACATCGACTTGGCCGGACCAATTTCTTCGATAACTTCGATGCCCCACGTATCGTTGTCCCTAACGACCCCGATCTGCGCTCACGGATTACCCATGAGTTTCATAATGCCCCGCTGGGGCTCATCTCGGTCGCGAGAAGACGTTTGCCGCTGTGTCACGCGACTTTTATTGGCCTCATTTGTATAAATGGGTACGCAAGTGGGTGCGCACCTGCGAGATCTGTCAGCGCGTGAAATCTGCTTCGTCGTCGCAGACTCCCCTGCGTCTACTACCATTGACCACCGAGGCCTGACGCTCGGTGTCGATGGACTTCATCTTTGGGCTCCCACCCGATGCTAAAAGACGTTCAGGTGTCTTGGTGTTTGTCGACCGCTTCAGCAAGATGGTCCACCTGATTCCAGTGTCGGATTCGATCACCGCGGCAGATACCGCGGTGCACTTCAACCAATGCGGTCTTCCGCCATCATGGCCTTCCTGAATCCATCGTCGCCGACCGCGACCCGCGCTTCACGTCGGGCCTTCTGGTCCAAGCTCTTCGCGCTACTGGGCTCGAAGCTTTCGATGTCCACGGTAACCCAACCGGAAACGGACGGCTAGACGGAGCGCGTAAATCGCGTCCTCGAAGACGTCCTTCGAAGCCATGCGACGTCGTTCTCCAGCTGGAGCTCGTTTTTGCCTCTGGCCGAGTTCGCGCTGAGCAACGCGGTACATGCGTCGACTGGGCTGACACCCTTCTTCATTAACAACGCGCGACACCCGCGTGTCCCTGCTCTCCTCGCCGTGGGACATCCCACAGCGCCGTGTGTCTCCACTCTGTGTGGGGAAGAAGCTGCCGACAAGCCGTCTACTCCAGCTCCGACGTCTCCGGCGGCAACACCGGTACTGGGTCAACCGGTACATACACCGGTTGCTAATAGTATCTCGAGTGTATCCCCAGTCCCTGCGTCGGTCAACGCAGTGACACGTTCCGCGGCGTCCCCGCTCGCAGCTTGGGCTAAACGTAACCTGATCAACCCCGGAGCCGCATCGAGCCCACTTGCGCCGGCTATCTACGCGCCGAAGCATGCGGCGCGACCAATTGATTCCGCAGTCGTCTCCGACTTCGTACTACAGCGCCAAGCGGTCACCCGCTATGTTCGTGACGCACTGCAGGACGCAGTGGACAAACAGAAAAAGAACGCTGACAAGACTGACCGCAAGAACACGGCCACGTTTCGGACAGGCGAACGAGTGCTCCTGTCGACTGAAGGTATCAGAAACTCTGCGGTTACCAACCTCGGCGCGAACAAACTCGCGCCGCGCTTTATTGGGGCGTTTACTGTAATCAATGCCATTATTGACGCTTACACTCTGGACAATCCTACGTCACTACGTCTGCATCCGACGTTTTACATCGGACGACTCAAGCAATATCACCCCGCTACAATTCCAGAGTCGTCTCAGCCTCATGAGCCGGAGCATGCGTCGAGCGACCTTCTCGACGGGCGCGGCGAGCCATCGATCCATCCGCATCAGGAGTCGGATCTCGAGGCTGTGTCCCCGTCTGTAAGCGACCGTGAACCGACCTCTCCAGCATCTGTAGCCGAGCAAGGATCTCCCAGTTCGACTAACGCAGCTGCGCACTCTCCCCGGTGGCCCGGGCAGTCCGATCGAGAGCCTCATCCAACACCTGCTGGGCATCCCAGTAGCGGTTCAACAAGTCGTTCTTGTTCTGGGCAGCAAGAACGTGAGCGTTATCGACGCGACGGCCCTCCTCCTGCTGTTGACGCTGCCGGAGATACCCGCTGGATTGTTGTACATTGTTGTCCACGAAGATCCACTTCGCGCTCCCAGGCGTCATCGTGGGCGAGCCCACGATGTTCCGGCCGACCGTCACTATCGGGTACGATAGCTCGGATTTCCTCCCGACGATGATACGTGGGGGCCTCTCGTGCCAATCTCCTTCGTGACGTCCCGAATGTGATCCAGGCGTATGAGTCCAAGCTCGCTAAGAACCATCATGTGACGCATGCCAGCTCGAACGAGGAGAACGGCTCAAGCCACCACGTGAACGTGATCGAGACCGATGACTTGGTCGAGCACGTGAACGAGACCGAGATCTGCGATTTGAGCGACCACGCGAACGTGATCGAGGCCGACGACTTGAGCGACCACGCGAACGAGATCGAGATCGGCGACTTGAGCGGCCCCGCGAACGAGACTGAGTCCAACGCCGAGAATCTTCGCGTGAAGAGCGTCGGCGCGAGCCGGCGAGACTAGAGGCGCGCACGTTCTCGGCCAACGGGCGGCGATACTTCTCGATCCACCCGTATTCTTGTTCACCGAGCGGATACTCGGCGACGTGACTTCTCCACTCCTCGACAGTCGGACTCGTGCCCGGTACAAGCACTACAACCTTTAGCGAAACAGATGCGGCGCATGTCCTCCCATGCGCTGTTGCAGACGCGCTCACGATGTTCCGTGAACGAGTTCTCCTTGACGATCTCCTCGCGGTATACCAGCCAGCCGACGAAGCTTTCCCCTTCTTCTTGCGTCTGGTTCCAGCGCCGGATGAAAGCGAACCACGACTCCTGCAACGCCGCATATTGCGACACCTTCGACAGGCTTCTGCCGCAGTCCGCGGGAGCGCCGGAAGTGATCTTTCATCGTGACCAGTGTGTCCGGAGCCCGCGCTCCGGATATATCGTAGAGAGCCCATGTCCGGAGCTGGTCGTCCATCACGCGCGTGCCGCTGCTGTTGCTCCTGCTATCGACGACATCGCCGTCGTCGGTGTTCCCGTCCGCTGCTGATCCATCGTGTTGCTTGTCAAGTTCTCCGCAAGCTGAGTTGTGTCTCTCCTGCGCTTCGCAGGAGATGTCTCCGTCCCCGGTTCACTCCGCCCGTTACCCAAGTCCCCGTTTTCCATCCTCACGTAGATTGATTTGTTCTTCGCCCGCTGCTTATGTTGCGTAAGTGCAACTTTAAGAGAGGGTAATGAACTGGACCCCTCCATTACATTAGTAGGTAGATCTCTTTACATAAGTAGGTGCATCAGCATACGACTAGCGTGTGCTGAAATGCTGTCATGCCATTGGCTGATATATGGGGAGCCAGACACATCATTAGCCAATTGGACTTTGACGTTTATTTGAGTGGCCAGGTCTGTGGCCTCGGTCCTAAAATAAAGTCAGAGTTGATTTTTCCTTAAACCTAAGACTTAGTCGTCCTATTGTGAGTTTCATCAACACTATAGTGTAAGCAAGTAACGGAGTAAATATCTGGCCCGTTACATGCTCGGTGAGCAAGGGTCAACGCTTGCGTGCGTCGCGACAACCATCGCTCTTTGGGTCGTCACGACCCCGCTGCGTGACGTAATGGTGGGTTTTGTGTGCCGGATTTACGGACACGGCGCGGATGTGTGCTTCTTCCTGTACACTTTGGAGAAAGGCACATGGCGACTAGGCGTCCGGAGACGCTGCTGCTACAGCCGGAAGACTACATATGCGCCATGCTTGCGATGATTTTTATAGTGCCTATAGATGTGACTATGAAGGAAGGTTTGGCACCAGCGGGCGTATGATTTGCATGTGGTGAATGGCATGACACCTCAAGGTGTGCGTGTTCACGCCTATCGCTGTGCAGGAAGCCTGGAAAGGAAGTTGGTAATATGAGCGCGCTACACGTGAGGCCGTGGTGGCTGTTAGCGGAAGATTGGGAGATTTTGTGTAAGGATAGATGTCTGGTGGTGATGTTGAGCCTTTTGCTGGCTGCTCACCTACCCAAATTGACGTACGATTTTTTCGAGGGCGTTCTTCAAGAATGAAAGGGCGTGGCCTTGATATTGGCCGTAGCTAATGTTTGGTTCTGGTTCTCGAGGACGGAGGTGACCGCTTCTAGCATAGTCAATCTGTGCGGAGGCTACAGTCGTGTGCTGCTTCTACACGATCAATGACTGGTGGGGACTGCTCCCACAGCGGTGGCTAGCACGGGTTTTACGGGGTTGCAAGGGCGTGTAACGGCTAGAAAGGATGGGAAGCGCGCCAACGTGACGCGTCTCCGTGAAGACATTGGCGACGGAGCTAATGCCGTGCCTGTGGAATACTCGTTGGAGCATGGAGTTCAACGACCCGTGCGTAGTGAGGGCAGGTCTGTAGGGACTTGACGACAGCGCCCGTGACGGACGGCCAGGGCATTGGTTGTCGAGGGCGTCTAAATAGAGGTAAAAATATATGCAAAGCATCTGATAATTGGTGATAGGGGAGGAATAAATATACGCGGCTTTGTATTTTGTGTCTATTACACCAAATTCCCTTTGGGTCGAAGGGTTAAATTTCGAAATTTTCGACCAGCATGCTACGGCGCACAGCGATCAAGAGACAGCCCTGGACCAAGGACGCAGCCGCACGTCGCCTGGCCACGCTGGCGCAGCAACGTCAGGCACGACGAGACCTCACAGCACATGCGCGACAGCTATCTCAACAGCAGGACCCACCGTTGCCACATGAAGGAGGAGGAGACGCGCAGGCCATGGACGGCGTCACACATACAGCATCCAAGCGTCGAACCCGCGAGGAACGCATCAGGCAACGACGTGAGCACTTCTCCAAGCAGTTGATGACGCCGGAGTGGCTCATTGACGCTCCCAAGGACCTCAACGGTAGCGGCAGTTTGCTGGGCGAGGGTTGGTATGTTCTGCCGCGCCCAGAGGGCAAGCGCTGTCTCATAGTGGCCAACGGGTACCGGTATTGCAGTTGAGTTTAGATATGGGGTATGGATGGAAATTATTACTAAACCTGCGAAATGTGTCTGTGTGTAGCGGTAATACCATTGCTCGGATCCCGTCGGGGTCTATCTTGAAAAAATTTCCGTCTGCGCTGCCTTGTGGCTCTCACAAGACCAACAAGTCCAGCGACGGCTACTGCATCCTTGACTGCATCTTTCAAGAGCAAAACGGAACCTTTTACGTACTGGACGTTATGTGCTGGAAGGGATACTTGCTCTACAACTGCACAACAGAGTTTAGGCTGTACTGGATGCGCGATAAACTGTCGGAAGGAGCTGCGGGGACGGTCACACCGGCTAATCCATTCCGATTTCTGGTGGGTATCCCAATGTGCCTACAAATGATTGTTTGGCGATCCCGGGTATGGACTTACTCCGAATTTTTGGTGGTTTAGCCCATTCCGTGCTATGAGTGCGACCAAGAAGAGCATCGTATCTGCATACTCAACGACGTATCCATTTCTCAAGTAAGTTCCCTCTTGTGTGGGGACCCGATCTATAGTTTATTTACTTTTTGTGTGGCCAGAGATGAGCTTCTTTTTTACATGAAGGCAGGCCACTACGAGATGGGTCTGTCACCACTGGCACTGGTGTGGAAGGATGCTAACACCAGTCGCTTCTTTACCTACTCGGCCAAGCCATCCGTAGTGCTTCGCTTCGAAGGTGAAAACGAGTGTGTGACCTTGGAGGGCATCGTTCTTTTCACCGCCGATCAAAGCTTCATCCAGCAGCACGAGGTTTGGGTTTGGTGTGTGGAATTTTAAACTTTGAAGTGATGGTTCTTATCATTTGCTATCGATAACCTCTTGTTTGTAGCTAAGCGAAGGGGATCTCGCGAGATTTTCTTTTGAGCAACATGAAGTAGATGAGAACCAGACCCCGCATCTGACCGGTCTGACATTCGTGAAACGATGCTCGCCCCAGCGAGCCCTCCCGGACAGCTGGACTAAAATTTTGTTCCAGTACAACGCGCGATTGGGTGGAGTCCCTATTGAGCGTATCTTAGAGGTGCGTGCTTGTTTTGTCTGTGTGGAGCGCATACCTACTAAACTGTTTGCTTACGCTTAATGCTGCTTCTTGTCCGAGTAGGCCGCTCACGCGCCGATTACTGAGGTGGAGATGGAAGGATAGACCACATGAGCAGTACAATCTTCTTTCGGCTGAGCTAAACGGTGGGGGTTAGTAGGCATTGTCCCCTGATCGTGCTTGGCCGTGGCCTTGTACTAGCATGTTTCCGCGAAAGAATGGCAGCGACTGCTTTTGCTGATTCTGCTGTTGTTGCTGATTGTTTTTACTGGTTTTGTGTTTGGCAGCGGATACGATATCTCGCTTTCTGCAAGCGTCTTTGAGCTCAGTCAGACTGCTTAAGGAACGGGTGTGAGGAGTGATGGATGGTAGGCGGCTGTGCTCGCTAGAACTGTCGACTTGAGTGCGTGATCTACCTTTCTGCGGGATTTTCGCCAACGTTTCTTGGCGTTCTTCACGAGATTCAGCTAGCTTTCGCTGCTGTTGTCGCATTGCGATGATGTCATCCGCTTTTGGGATTCGAGGACGCTTTTGGCTACATGGTGTTCGCAATGGTAGACCCATGAGAAGTTTAAATTTTCGTGAATCTCGCGCAAGATACGGCTCCTGATCCAGTTCATCAAACACAAGTGCCTCTTCTAGCGGGATCGTATAGCATCCCACTGGTTTTACTGGTGTTCGTCGCAGCCGCTCTTGCTCCAGTTTCCACTGATTTTGAGGAAGGAAGTCCTCGGAGGCCATTGCCGAAAATTGATAAAACGGACGGAATGGAGTGTAGAGGTCTGATAACGATGCAGTACGCACAGCCTGGTCGCGCTCAAGCTCCCGCAGTTCTTTGGCGATCCGTGACGATCCCTGATCCTCTGCAGACATGCTAGCCTGTTCTTGCAGTAGCTGGCGTACCTTTGCAGCAGCAGCTTTGTGCAGCACCTTTCTGATCCAGAAGGCAACTTCATCCTCAAGTCGCATCCCTGTTTGGTCTCGCAAAAGTTGGTCACGATGCCAGCACGAGTGTTCGTCCTCCCGCTGCATCTGGTTAAGCTCGGCTCGCTCACGCGCAAACTCAAGATCTGCTTTACGATAGACCTCCAGGTCGGCTTGGTGCTGCAACACTTTCCTCAGTTCAGCTTGACGTACTCGGCGGAATTGAAAGGCTTTCTCTTCTCGTTCTTTCTCGATACGAGCTCGCTCCGCTTGCCGTTCCAGCTCCAGAAGCCTCTCCGCCTCCTGCTCTTCCAGCAAACGCTGTCGCTCACGTTCCCGCTCAAGTTGCTCTTCTTCCTCGAATTCTTCGTCCCCGTTATCGACACCACTGCCAGCTCGCCATCCAGATGAAGTCACCTTTCGATAATGCGCTGGCAGATTGCCAAAGAAGTACGACTGGGAGAAGTCTGTCCGGTTCGGCATAACCAGCGATGGTTCCTCAATCTCTTCGTCGCTCTCCACAAAGCTGTCGTTGTACTCACGCGAGAGAGCATCTTCTTGCGCCATATACATGAGTTCTAGCGTGATATTGGCGCTCTCATCCTCTAATCTTTGCAGTTCCTCTTTTTCCTGCTCACGTTGATTATCGATGGTGTCAACAGTGGCCTGCTCTCCTATTGCCACTTCAGGTTCTTGTGGTACCTGTTCAAACTCTTCTTCGATTATCTCATGAGTTTTAATCTTCGCGACAACTTCTCGATCGTCAAACTCGAACGAGGTCACAAGAGGTAACGGCAACGTCTCCGTGACAAGTGGCGCTGGGAGTTTCTCGTAACGAACAACACTTGCGATTCGGCTGTTGCCATTAAAGTAAGACAACTTGTTCTTCAAGAAAGTAAGGCGCGCTGTCTCGGACCTGAAATACGACTCGAAGAAGTCTTTGATGATTCCATCCGGGCTCTCTCCATTCTCGGTATTCTGTTCCTTCTCTAAAATCCCCAGAATCGCAATGTTTATTGACGCTTCGTGAGCTTCACGCTCAAGGAAGTCGCGACGATGGATGTTAAGACTAGCTGCCCACCACGGCACAAACTTGCCTGCCAAAGCCAAGATGTCAATGTCCTCCGTACATGAACCAGAGATATCGGGCAGCTCGAAATCATTCCTCATGGCCGCGATTTGAACTACAGGGTCCATCAAAGCTAACATGATTTCCTTTTGCTGAGTTTCCAGACTCATGTTTTCCCATGACGTTGGGCTATCCTTATCGGCCAGTAAACGCTTCACAAAGTGCTCAAAAATGAATACCTGCTGAAATGGCTGACATTTTTCTTCACATGGCCCCGCCTTCTCCTTTTCTTCTTGGACTTCCAGTTCGGATTGAGAAACAATACGCAGTCGGAGCTCCAGATAATCAGTTCGCGCCTCCAATCGTTCTCGTTGTAATTCCTCAGGTGGAATCGTCTGGTGGAGTTCAGTGGGGCCCAAACAGTACCAAGAAACGAAATCTTGCCATGCAGTCGAGGTGGACTGCCCAATCTGCTCGACTGGTGGGGGTGAGAGACCCACATCCGCCACTTTCTGGTGAACAGTTGGATCGATCGCTGCAAACATCAACTCCTCAGTGAGAAAACGCTCTCGAATTCGCTGGTGATGACGATGCATTGCTGCGAACCATCTTGTGAATGATCGCACTCCCAACTGCACTGCCAGTTCCTCACTCTCGAAATCTTCAATGCGTGGTACGAAAACTCCCTCTCTCTCGGCATCTTCCTGAACACATCTCGACTTGCACGCTGCCATCAACTCCACTCGTCGATCATGCTCCGACATGCGTTCCCATTGCATGAATGGAATCTCATAGGAAGGCTTTAGTGATTCACGGACCTTCTCATTCCTTTGCTTTGATTGACGCTCTCTATGTGAATGCCGATTTCTAGGTTGATAATCCAGCAATAAAATCGATTTGTCCTCATATTCTACGAGTGAGACCACTGAGACCTTCTCCTGTGCTCCAAGGTCTGGTATTATCATGCTGCTGGACCTCACAAGATTTCCAGATCTGTCCGCAATGCCCAGTTGATTTGGGTCACCGTCACATGAAGGCGATAATGACGAATAAGCGTCTCCAGCAGAAATGACGGCGCAACGAGCTTGCGATGAAAGCGAATCCGACGGATTGACAACACTCCGGTACAAACGAGGTTTCGCTTGCTGAAATCGGCTACGGAGTGAATGCTCTCTTGGTAGAAAATTTGCTTTTGCGTCACGAGCAGCCTTTCGGGCGAGACTTTTCTTCTCGTTGAGCTTGTTGCGTCGTGGCGACTGAGACGAGGATTGCGGGGGATTTCTAGCCGAATGTGGTGAGCGGGCTCTGGAATTCAGCGGCGGTCGATCCAGTATCCGCGTTGGAGATGAGCTCATAATACTTTGCAGGTTATTGGATTCGTTTTCTTCAAACTTCTTAGACGTCGGAGCTGGCTTGGGTTCTTTAACGACAGCCGTTGCAGGTGACAACCCCGGACATGGGTTATCAATAGAATTTAAGCTGTGTTCAACTCCAGGCAACGTGATGTCTATCCGAACGGAAGGAACTTTAGCCACCAACCTGCTCCCATCGTACGATTCCGGAGTGAACGCACTTGTCTTCGACATTGTTAAAAAACTTCTGCGACGCGCTTCAAATTTACTGGGCTGTTCTCCATCATTTCCGTGAGGCTTCAGTTCACGCTGAACAGCGCGTTCTCGTCCCCGCAGAAGACGCTGCTTAACAGCTTCCTTGTCGCCTGATCCGAGATGGTCGACCCGATCAATGTTTCGATCAACGTATGCGAAGAGATCCAAGAATCTATGCACAACGATCCCCAGCTCAGTAACATTCACTTTCCTCAGCAGTCACAACGGTACACCTACCCATTTGCTGGAGATATGTAGATACCTTTGATAAATTCGTGAACCTTAATCCGCCGGTGTGGGAAGAAAAAACTGAGCGAGAAGCACCACACCAGGATGATAGCGTCTTCGTCGTACGAAAAGACCCACGAGAAGTTATCAGTGACAGGCTGTGGGCTAGCGAGAACTGATGTTCCAGCTCCAGATTCACATAAAATGTCTCGCACTGGTGCCAAATGCAAATCGATGGCGTGCAGGGCACGTTTCACGACCGAGATGCAGTTTGCAGCTTGTTCCGGAAGGCGAGAGGACTTTGATGAGGCTCTTCTTCTTCCAGACGGCAAACTCCAGCATTCTACACTACCGCTATCAAAGCCGCAAAACAGAAATTGGGGAAATTCAAAAGCTGCAGCCGAAATATCGGACGAATAGGTCCGAAAGCAGGTGATTAGCTCCCACATAAAACGCTGCCCTGCACCATTATCCGACGGTGTACAGATTTTCTTTATCTGCCAGTGCTTGACTTCACCTCCTCGACTAACAGAAAGAAGCGAACATTCTCCTTCCACGTGTGCTGCTACTACACTTTTGGTGCGATCAATCAGTACCGCAACACTGTTGGAATAGCATGAGAATCAATTTTAATTTTTTCTGGCAAAGTGGTATCGTTTGAAGAAATCTTACCTGTCATTTGCATACGCTTGCTTCCTGGTCAATAAGCGACGAGACTCCATGTCGAGAGAGAAAACGTGAAGGACCCCCATTGAGTCGCCGACAACAACAAATTCTTGATTGTCGACGAAGAGATTGATCATCACTGTTGCAGTTGTTTCTGAGGATTCGAACGGTTGCGCTATCGTGATAAATCGATTGTCGAATAGATTGTACCTCCTCACTAAGCCGTGAGGAGACAGCGCGACAATTGAATCAGCTGCTATGACGTAGTCAGCAATGGGCAAGGTGCCTCCTTCCCCTATCTCGGTATTTGTTGGTCCCTGTAGCGACGTAAAGCGGAAGCTAGGAATTCCTTCCCTGAGCAAAACCACTTGGGGTGACGGCACTTGCTGATAAATGGAAATTTGCCCACCCTCGAAGCCTCCGTATCTCTTCAAAACTTCACCGTTGAATGAACCGCAAGGCAGTCGGCCCTCCGAGTCCGATAAGAGAATTTCCATGATGCAAAAACCGGTCGACCATACAGCGAACGCAAAAATACGTCCGTCAGCTACTCTTGCTGTATGAAGAACGTTGTATCGTTCTGACGGAGGGTTAAACGGCAGCGTTAGAGCAGATACGTTGAGCTCAGGCAGAGCATCTGCACCATCGTTGTTATTAGCTGATCTTGGATCGATAAGATCGACGACAGTGAACCTAGCACAGATATCAATCATCAAGACCACGTGATCACCAGTGCCGTTTGAATGCACAATATGGTGGTAGCCCTCAGTAAACGCTGCCATTTCTTGATTGTGCTCGTGTTCGCCAACTTTTCGAAATTGTGGCAATCCCTTCTTCACGATGAACGCGTACTTACAGACTTTCCTGGCCGTTTCAAAGGAACCTGTTAGTAGCCCACATACATACTGCAATCCACACTGTGTCACCTCAAATTGGTTTTGTACACGAGATAGATACTGTTGTCGTTGCTGCCGCTCTCCAAGCTGAAAATGGTGCGTCGGTCCTTGCGCAGACAACAAGGAAAACGCTGGCACGACGCCGCGTCGAATACGTGAACTACAGTACTCGTAGCAGCAAAAACTTTCTGCCCGTCATAGCTCATTCGAAGGTGGCGATAGTGGGTCTTCTTGACCTGCTCGCATATCACCATCGCATCAGCTGTAAGCGACGCAAATGGCGAGAACATTGACGCGACACCAGCACGCCCACCGATTTTGCAGCTGTATGCACTCGCAACACGCCCTTAAATCCGCCAGTGTTTTGTGCCGTAGCGATTACGCGTAGTGCCCACACTTTGATCCCTCCGTCTGTGTCTGTAGTTACGAGCTCCCGTCGGCGTGGATTCGCCAGCGCCGTGTAAAATTGTCCCCCGTCCTTTTCCACCAGCGTGTGTGACGTCAGCGACGCTCTGAGGTCTGAGCTACAGTGTGTGTATCGTAATCTCATATTAGATCTTAAACACAGCAGCAGCACAATCGCAGCCTACCAGACGATTCTGTGCTCAACTTGACCCGTCGAAGTGGCCACAACGACGGAGTAGGCATCCAGCTTTAACAAAACAGCCCATAGTCAGTAGGTCACTTGCAAATTGTAAACAGTGGCACCCACCCAGGGAAGATGTAGAGCGAACTGGTAGTGTGCGTTCTCCTCCGCCACAAGAGTCGCCAGCAGATCTCCTCCTGCAGTCAGCATGTTGCTGTACAGGTAGAGCGCGGTAGGTGTGACCACCAGCAGCTCATGTCGATCCTCATTGTACACAGAAGACACGGCATTGCACAGCGGGATTCGCTCGCCTCGCAGCGTGAGCGTCACGCAGTCGGCCATCGATGAAGCCTTGTTGAAGTGAAACGTCAGAAAAATAGAAACAATTCATCTGTGTGGGTCACACACTTTTCAGCTGCCCTCCAGTGATACGGAAGACCGAATGGGTCGTACCGGTGCCAAGATTAAGAAGGGCGGGCTGGGCAACGCCCTGCTGCGCACGCAAAAGAAGACATCACCCATCAACACGAAGGATGTGGCCTCCAGTGCCGGTAAGCACGTGTCCGAGCGCGATGGTGGTGACGCGTCGGTGGCTCTTGCCTCGTACCTGGAAGGGTCCTCTCTGGTACGACGATACTCAATTTTGGGTTGGCTACAGCCCCATATGCTGACTAGCAGATGCATTAATATTGCAGGACGACTTTCTGGCTAGCGCTGTGCTGGCCAACCGTGAGTTTACCGCTGTGAAGGAGAGTATCATGCTGATGGAAGAGGCGGACGCCGGTCCGCAGGTGGTCGAGTACGTTAAATGATTGGCGGTGTGTTGCCCAGCATAAAGGAACATTATTCAGTGTTTGTTGCTGAGTACAGGAAGGACAAGAATGTGATGCCGGAGATGACGTTCGCAGAGATGAAAGTGCCGCGTCGACCCCAATGGGACAAATCGATGACAGCCGAGGAACTTAACAGAATGGAGAAGGAGAGCTTCCTCGAGTGGCGTCGTGACATTGCCATGTGAGTGGCAAGTTTCTGTGATGAGATTGTAGACTCTGGACTAAAGCTTTGCTGTTTGGTGCAGACTGGAGGCCTCGTCCGACCACCTCGAGGTAACCCCGTTCGAGAAGAACCTGGAGGTGTGGCGTCAGCTGTGGCATGTCCGTGAACGAAGTGACATCATGGTGCAGATTGTCGACGCTCGCAACCCGCTGTTCTATCGGTATGGGCCATGTGGAGCCTGAGATTTGTACGGACAGAATGGTTTATACTAATCGCCCTTTCGTTTATAGCTCCACAGACCTGGACGCGTATGCGAAGGAAGGTGAGACGCCCCGTCGTACTCTTTTGGTCGTCAACAAGTCTGATTTCCTGGATGAACGCCAAAGGTGAATTGTATGGGTTAATGGCATGCAGGTGGCGCAGGTCTAACGAATCTTGGTGCGTAGAACGGCGTGGGGAGATCATTTTAAGAAGGAAAATATCAACTTCGTGTTCTTCTCGGCCAAAGAGGCTCAGGACGAAATCGACGAGGAGGCGAAAAAGTTGCGTCAGGAGCAGCGAAACGCCGAGAGTCACGACCAGTACAATGAAGTGAAGCCGGCTGACGCACCACAAGTTGTTGAAGCAGAAGCAGTGGATGCTACAGAGGATTCCAGCCCGTACTCGGTGCTCTCTCGTGTCGAACTGCTGGATTATGTGACTAAGATCGCCACGGAGGTGCTGGATGAGGTGGGAGTGCGAGTGAAGGATAAGGGGCTGATCAAGTTCGGTATGGTGGGCTTCCCTAACGTTGGCAAAAGCTCCGTGATCAATGCTCTGCTTGGTGCTTCAACTTACTCACACAAGACCCAGCGTGTTGCTGTCGGTGCTACTCCTGGCAAGACCAAGCACTTCCAGGTTTGCAGAAGTGTTTATGATCTTCTTTACCCTTTCTTACAGCTCCATTTTTGCTGGATTAACGCTTCTGTTGTACTTGCAGACAATGATCCTGTCCGACAAAATAATGCTGTGCGATTGCCCTGGTCTCGTGTTCCCGAGCTTTGTTAATTCGAAGGCTGAGATGTACTGCTGCGGTGTGCTCCCTCTCTCGCAGTTGCGTGATCACGTTTGTACGTTCATATATTACTTTGCTTGTTGTACTGTAGCGGATGTCCATCCTACTGATAAGTGTCTTGTGTGAATAAATAGCCCCGTGCCAGCTCCTGTGCCACCGCATCCCGAGGCGGGTGTTTGAGCGAACTTACGGAATCAAGATCCCCATCTCCAAGACGGCGAAGGAAACGGATTCTGTCGGCATTTACGCACTCCTTGAGGTGCGTACACTAAACATAAAGCGCTTCACGGTGCTGCTATAGCTCAACCCATACTTATCTTTCTGCTACAGTCGTACGCACGTAATCGCGGCTACACGACGACTGGCAAGGGAGGGCCCGACACCTCACGCGCAGCACGCGACATCTTACGGCATTACGTGAATGGGCGACTGTTGTACTGCCACCCTCCGCCGGATGTCTCGGACTCCACCATCTTCGACATCCATGATCTTGCTAAGGCTCAATTCCCCGATCTCGACGATTCCATCGTCCTTCACACCACTGAAAATGAAATCAGCGAGGAGGTCACTTCGCCGCCGGAGCCGAATGTGGATAAGAATCTGGACTTTGACACAACTGTGGAAGACAAGCGCGCTGTGAGCAAACGGTTGAAGAAACATGGCCGAAAGGGACGTAAGGGACGCGATAAGAATCCATATGAAGACTCGGATTTCCCTGGTGGTGCTGCTGGTGTCCGCATCAACTCAGGTGGCAAGAAGAAGAACCGCAGGCCATAATTCGACTACCAGCGCATGGATAGATTTTTTAACACAGGTTCTATTACATGCAGCTGCATGAAGGGCTTTAGTAGTGTAGTATTGTGAGCTTCATCTCTAAACATGCAAAAAAGAATCCCAAAGTTGATCGGTCCATTCATTCGTCCAATGTTTTTTTTGTGGTTTCCTACTTACTTCGTCGTCCTGCATGCACGCAGGATCAACGAATGGAAATGGTCGAGAAGCGAGGCCACACAATGAAAAAGAAAACATTGCTTCGCCGCTCGACCATTGCTTTCAGAAAAGAAGGAAGGGGGTCGAGCTGCAACGTCCGCCCCTGCTACTTCCACCAAGTCTCCTTTGTTGTAATTTCTTCAGTTTTCCATCTCTCTTCGTCTAACTGCCAGAAGGGACAGAGGGGTTCGCAAGCGACAGGAACGGCAGGATCTAATTGCCCTTGTGGTCTTCATCAATGGTATCCGCGTTGTACGTGAAGCCAGGGAATTGTGCCTTGTTGCGCTGCGTCTCGCTCATTGTCGTAGTGACGACCGAATCCACAGGCTTCTCAGCAGTGAACTCGACATCGAAGTTGCTCGTGTCCATGGAGCCCAATCGGTTAGGCGGTTTGAACTCTGGCTGCACTTCCTTACGAAGCACAGCCTCCCAGTCAATTCCTTTAAAGAACGGGTGCGACTTGATCTCCTCAGCATCCGTGGGGCCGCTACCAAGACGGTCCGCCACCTTACGCGTCAACAGACCAGTTAGCAGGTCCTTGGCCTCAGCCGACATGAATGACGGAAACCGCAAAGGCGCGTTCAGAATCTTGTCGTACATACGCTGCATGTTCTGGTCGTAGAAGGGAGGAAGACCGGTAAGCATCTCGTAGATAAGCGTACCGAGACTCCACCAGTCCACAGCCTTGCCGTGTCCTTTGTTCTCCAAAATCTCAGGCGCAAGATACTCGGGGGTTCCGCAGAAAGTCTTGGTGCCACCCGTAGCGCCGGCGCCCGTGACAGCTTCCTTAGAGAGACCGAAGTCCGTGAGGCGAATGTGTCCCTCAAGATCCAGCAGAATGTTCTCGGGCTTCAAGTCACGATAAATGATGTCATGCTTGTGAAGCTCCTGCAGAGCGAGGATAATCTCGGCGGCAAACAGACGTGCCTTCTGTTGCGAGAATCGACGGTCCTTCTTGAGCCAAAAGAAGAGCTCACCACCACCGCAGTAATCCATGACCAGGTAGAGCTTGTCGGGGGTCTGGAAGGCGTATGTGAGACTGGTCAGGTACGGATGTTTGATGCTCTGCAGGATGCTGCGCTCCGTCTTGGTGTGTAGCAGCTGGTTGCGTTTGACGAGCGCAGCCTTGCGAAGCGTCTTCATGGCGTAAATCATCTTGGTGTCCTTCTTCCGCACCATCATAACTTTACCGAAGGAGCCCTTTCCGAGCACCTTAAGCAGGTCGAAATCCTCCACATTCACCTTAGTCTGCGGGCGCGCGGGGCCGTCCATATCTTCAATTGCCACCTGCTCGATCGGGCCTGAGTCGTCGTCTTCTAGGTCGGCTGCAGCGATGAGGCGACACACACGAGAGATAGAAACCGTCAGCAAACTGAAACCTTCATACTCACTAAGTGCATGATAAAGTGCCACGTACACTCCTCCTCAGACTGCTGCTGCTGTTGTTGCTGTGCCTGCCCCTGGCCAGGAGCTGGCGGGGGGCCGTTGGACGGATACGAGGGCGCGGCGGGCGCACTCTTGCCAGCGTCACGACCGCCGTTGGCGTAGTTTCCAAACTTGAAGCCGCGCGAGTCGCTCTTGATAGGTGGGCGGAGGCTCTTAGCGCCCTTGGATCCCTTATTGCCCATGCTTGTCTGGTGGAAGAGGAGAGGGGAGGGAGGGAGAAAATGTATCGGACGAGGAAACCTGTGCCGATGGACGAATACGCGAATGAGCCCGACAACAGCACAAGGAGGAGGACACGTGGGGAAGCCGCTGTACGTACCGGCCTTTCCTTTACGCGCGAACAAATGCGGACTGCGACTTCCACCCCGCGTCCCGACAACGTGCCTCACAATCTGACAACTTGCACACAGCTATTACATCAAATCTTCTTCTTCATGCGACCGACCGAGAAAATTTAGCGAATTGTAGCTCTTTTCGACCGACCGACCGCTTTTGATCTTGCAGCCGGCTCAAAGAGCGTTGTTTGGTTGTTCCATATGTCGCGTCCTAAGTGCGAATAGCGACCTGCCGCTCTCAATTAAGTCTTGAAAACTAATAATCTGCTAAAAGCGCTCTAAACGGCATTTGCACTCATACCGGTTTAAAGCCGAACTTACATAATACCTTTGGATTTGTAAGAAATTTTCTTACCGGAGGAAATGCCCCATTTACAGTGCCTGCCAAAGCCGATTTATGTAGGTGTAATGTTCTAAAAGATTAAATTTGGACTGAAAGTGAGATGGAGACTGGATACCGGTATAAACTGGCATATTTTGCGGTACATTTGGATTAAAAAAATACGATTGAGCAAAACCACCACTTAAGAATCGACAGTACGGTTTTCAAGCCACAATATCTTCCAGGATTTTTTGTTCATGAGCTGTCAAACCTCAAAATAATCTCAAGAATATCCTATTTCACGTGATATAATTGGCTGTCGAAAAGAGCTGAAATTGTGAATGCAATGGTTTGTCGCGAGTAGTCCTGGTTTGGGGCGGGACTGCAGCGAAATGTTTTCAGACGGATCGGCGCGAAGCTTTTACAGTCGGTAGTGATATTAGTTTAACAGGCCAAAATCTTAATACAAAGACTCAACTTGTTAAGTACCGGGCAGATTCACGACTGGCCTCTTCTCACTAACCTTTCCATCCTTATCGACCTTTGAGTCTTACCAGCATCCGCCTCTCTAGTACCTTCCGGGAACACCCTGTTCCAACCGGATCGTGGCACGACCCCCTCGACATAATCATGACACCCCTACCGACCTTGGGCATCTTCTCATCGTACTGCACTCCGTAATGGCCCTCTCGCCACCCGTCCTTGTCGTCCCACTCACAGTCACGCCCTTGGTCTCAATATCACAACTGAGGAGGGCACGTTGGGTTCCTTCGAGAAGACAATTCCCATCTAAAACAATCTCAGTGTAGCACTCATGTCCAGTCGCTCCAACTCGCGACTGCTCCCAGAGCCCATCACCTTGAAGTGGCCGCTCCCGTAAGTGCGATGTTGACTGAGAAGGGTGCGTTGCTGACGAAGATGCGTGAAAGCCGAGCTACGGAGGCTCGACGAGGGTGTCGGGTTTTAGTCGGGGGGGGTCGGGGGGGTCACGAGTAGGAACGGTGACCCTCGTGAGTCCGGCTTAGGACCTCATCCTTGCTCGAGCGACGCAACTTAGTCCCCACAGGCCTCTTCCTCTCTGTAGACACTCCACCGTCTAGACGCCAAACTCCTAGCTAAGTCGCTCCACTTGTTCCAGTTCCTCCATTTGCGCACACCATTCCGCGTAGTCTTCGGATACCATCCGGTGGTGTAGCGGGATCAGCAAAATCTGCGGAATTGCTGGATCCAGGTTACCAACAGCGCCCAGACACCGACTAACGGAGGGGATCCCCCGATGATCCGTGATCTGTTGAACTTTCCCCACCTTGTGTACCCGTCGGTAGGGCGGGATCTTGCTCTCTCGGTAACTTCCGAAGAGTTCAAGTGGTGAAGCTTGAGTGTTATGGCGAGACGTGGGGATGGGTGGAGCAGTAGTGGTAAGATCTTCACTCTGCGTCCGTAGATGTTTCTGGATCCTAAGCGAGTATTTGAGCTTGGTAGATCCAGGGCCTAGATCAGGGATCTGGCCGTAGGGTTGCCTTGCGGGTGTGTTCCCTTGTCTTTGTGTTTCCTTTTCGTCGTACTTGCCGCCTCCTGTGACGGGATCTTGAGAGTTGAGAACCTCTAGGGTGTTGTCGGCCAAGTAGTAAATCCGGTTAACCTTTCGGATTTGCACGTGTAAAGGAAAGCTCACTAGGTTGTAGGATCTGGTCAATGTATTATCCAGTTATCACTACCAACACTAGATTCGCAATTCCCAACCTTCACCGAGCTCGTACGGCCAATGTAGTTCCGATTCTTGAGGACAGGAAGGAACTTGCGTGATACTGTGCAAATTGAGGGCTGTATTGATACTTAAGCCTATACCTGCCTAAATTTCTACCTTCTATGTCTTTTACCCGCTAAATCCCCTAGCAGGCTCGGCTGCATGTCCTTTTTTCTCCTTGACCCATCATCCCAGGTGTATTATCATCAGATCCACCGGATCCATGGCGTAATCATTATGGTTGTCACATCATGGGTACACTTGTCCGGATCTAGGTTACCTTGATCCACCTCATTACAAGTGTACGCTTTTCATGGATCTGAGTTCTCCAATCTTCCAACATCGTCTTACGACCGTCTGTGATCTCCATTGGAGAGAGGAACCTTCCATGGCCCGAAGGCACGGTTGCCAACCCAGTGACGCTTAGGTGAATCGTCGCTCTTGGCTTCGCGAGCGATGTGTGTGAGTACGCGGTCAGAGAGACGGCGATGTGGTTCGCGAGTGGGGTCAAGCGCATTTGTCTGCTGGAGCAAGTCGGTGATACCGGTATATCCGTCTTCGTCAATGTCGACCTTGCTCGTAGCGCGTGCTACTACTCTCTCGTAACGTTTGAGGTCGCAATTTAGTAGTACGGACAAGTCTTTGGGGACGTCCTGAGAAATGGCAGGCGTCGAGTGCTTCGCCGCCGAGCCAGAGTAAAATGTCGTGGGCTCCGTCTTCGTACGCGACGAGAAGCCCGTAGTAGCCGAGCTCCTCGATGTTGAGACTGAGGAAGGAGAATCGGTCCTGCGGAGCGCTGCTCTTCTGCTTACAACGAGCGCCGGCGTGTTCAGTAGGCACGTATAGAGCACACGCGAGATACGCAGGGCGCGAGCGCATCCAGGAACGTTAATTGGCGATATGAAGCTTGGGAAACTTGGACGGCGGGTACCATGCG